TGTGATGTTGCTACTGTTATGAATCGTCATGTAAATATCTGATATGCAGGATGGTCTTAGGCGACCCCCATGAAAGGGTTGTTAGACTGCCAAAGGGGTCGCCACCCACAGGTTGAGAACCGCTGCCTTACATGGTGACCTTCTCGTTAACACCCTTATCACCACCGCATTAATATCATTAACATAGATATTCATCACGTTTGCTGTATTTATTTCCCTTTGATCAGGACACTAAAACACCAAGATCAGGGGTCTGAAAAAATTGCCTGACACGTGAGAACAGCAAGTTCCCTCTCGGGTACTTAGGCAGAGTGGCTGTCCCCATCTGATTTGCATGTTATGCCATACAGCAGGAAATATCTAAGTTGACAAATAGGATATTTACAGCTGCAACAGATACTTGGCAGTTAGTTTTTAACAATTGTTGCAAATGTGATTTATTTGCTATTATACAAGGGCATTACTGTGCGAATATGACTCCTGAAATTAGCTTCCGTTTAGCAAGGGGCCCTGACAGCTTGACCTCCTAATATCCTTATAATGATGCCATTTACATTCAATGCTTACTCAAGTCACTCGATGCTAGATTTGTTTGAGAGGAGTCCACTCTGGGGCAGATGTATTATGTACTTTGCCATACCGAGTTGGTGTGGGGGGCACACGGAGGCCTTCTAAGAGGAAGAAAAATGTTTAATCAAGTCTTCGGAAAATGTGTTCGTTTCCAACTTCCTACAGTGAAAATGCATTACTGCTAATTGCAGCATACTCCAGAAATACAATACTTCATGTTTTCTCCGCAAGACATTTCCGTGGCGTGGATTATATTAAACCAGAACATGTTTTGATCCTCAGCAACTTTAACTTCTAATTTGACTGGGAAACTGGTACAGGGAAAGGACTGGGTGGGCCAAGATGAGCGCCGTCGCCTCCAGCAGGGAACGGGGAGAGGGTGGACTGGAAGCCAGGCAGAACTGGGTTCCAGTCCCAGCACCGCCCCTTCCTAGCTGGGTGGCACTGGGTGCCTCTCGGAACCTCTGTTTCTCCAGCTGTGGCATGGGGGTGTTACTCTTTAGGGTACTATAAAGATCTGAGGTGGTTGTGAAGCACCTGGCACATTGTAGGCACTTGGTACGCGGGAGGCAGTCATGTCTGTGTTGCTTTTCAAAGCTCAAATGTCACTTCTCCACGATGCAGCCCTGACTTCACTGGACAAACGCAGTCTGTCCTTCCTTTCCGCTTCAGCAGCCCTCTGCTCTGCCCCTTGATCATGTCCAGTGCTGCTCTGTGCTGTAATTAATTGAATACATATGTCTCTGGGCTCCCCTTCTTGATCGCAGAACTTGTGCCCGTTTACCTTTCACACCCCGATGCCTAGCACAGGAATATGCCTTGAGCATCGAACTGAGGAGGACTCTAGGGCGCTCTGGCTTCAGTGTGGGCTTGGGGATAACAAGGGCAAGCAAGGGGAGGGGAGAGGTAGTACATGACCCACGTTTGCCATCTCTAGCGTAGCACCTAATAGATGCTCAGTAAATATCTGTCCAAGGAATTAGTGCCCGTCACTAAGTAGTAGCTTGTAGTTACATATAGTGTACATATGTCTACTTTCAAAGCATTCTAACTTTTATTGCACCTAGTGTTCTAATAACCCTGCAATTCCGCCTGGGTGGGTGTTATCATGGTTTCCCAGCTGGGATACAATGGCACCGTGGGGTAGCAAAGTGGCTTTCCTGCCTCTCATGGTAAAGCAGTGGTGGAACTAAGACTGACATGCCAACCTCAAGTTTCCACCTTAAGTGTCACATTGAAATTCCCCCGGAGGCCAGCACTGCTTTTTCCAGAATCAGGGCCAACTGCCCTTTTCTCATACTTGCTCACTCTTCCCCCTCTGTTTGCTGTCCTTGAGTTGCCCATCCCCTCACGCTTCTGTCCAGTCTCATTTCTCAGTGGAAAACATTGCATGACCACCTTAGAAACGGCAGTCAACTCCGAGTCCACAGGAGCACCGTGGCTCAGGGCACAGCGACCAGACTGCCTTAGCCAGGCGTCTGCCCTTGTGGAACTTCCCACAAGAACCTTGAATCTTTTGATTGCACCCAGATTGGAGGTGCCATCCCGCCGCTGCAGGAAGTAGAAACAGAAGCAAAAACACCCACCCGCTGGTTCAGTTGGGTCTGGTGTGGTTTGGGCAGGGCTGGGTGGGTGTGGCTTCCTCCCCCTCGTGGCTAATCTCCCCCACCCTCCTGCTTCAATCAGGTGTGGGCAACAGGCCTCGACCTGGCGTACAGCGACCAGCTGGCCCTGACTCAGCTCGCCTTATACCTGACCAACGGCCACCTGGACTGCAGTATTAGCACCCTGACAGTGCCCCCGCGCCCTCCCAAGGAAGAGAGGAAGAAGAGCCACCCGACTACCCTGTCCGTGCGGGTAAGCAACAGCAGCTGCCTGGTGCTCCGTGTTCGGCAGCACTGGGCCTCGGCTTCCTGAGCTCTCACGATGTGCCAGGCTCTTCGGTTTAGAGCAGTGGTTCTCAACCTGGGCTGCACATTAGACCCACCTGGGAATCTTTTTAAAATCCTGATTTCTGGGCCTCGTCCTCTGGAAATTCTGTTTCTTTGTTACTAATGTTGTGGCCCCACCCCGTAACAAAGAAATAGAATTTCCAGAGGATGAGGCCCAGAAATCAGGATTTTAAAAAGATTCCCAGGTGAGTCTAATGTGCAGCCAAGGTTGAGAACCACTGGTTTAGAGAGAGGAAAGAACCTCAGGCAAGTCACTTCACCTCTTCAAAATGTGTTTCTGGACCATAAATGCACAGGTCAAAGGAGAGGGGAGAGGGCATTCCAGAAGGAGGAAGGTCTGGGTGGGAGGGGGAGAGCGCGGGGTGTTCCAGGCTTACATCTGTGTGGTGTTTCCCTCAGTTCTCTTCTCAGCTCGCTTCCCTGGGCAAGTACAGCTGCTTCTATTACCAGCAACTTCTGATAAAACCCAGATTTTTCTAACCCCAGTGTTTTTTTTTTTAGCTTCAGATTTCTAAACCCAATATAGTCTCCAGAACTTCCCTGTCAAGTCCTCATGGTCACACTATCCAAAACCGCATTTGTCATCTCCCTTCCCTGTACTTCCCCTTGGTGGGTCAGGCCAGAGGCCTATCGGGCACACTGTCCGCCTGTCAACCAGCGGTCCTGGGGCTGGCGGAGGTCTGCCAACCGCAGATCCCTGGGTCACAAAGGGTCCATCTCCATGGGGACGGTGGGCTAGGTCAGTCATGGAGAAGGAGAACAACAGTCAAGAGACCAGACGGGCCTTAGTGTGCGGGGATATGAGAGGGGATGGGGCTCGGCCACAGCTGCTCTGACAGCTGCCAGAGGTTTCTTCTGCCTCGCAACTGGGCTTCATACCCTTTTTGCAAAGGGAGCTCGACTTGAGGTCCAAATGTACCAAACAGATGAAAAAGGAATGCCCACAGCTAATGGGACCCACACTGGTGCCCTAGGTACCTTTTCAGAGAAGTATCTCCCACCTCTCTGCTGAGCCTCTCTGGGTCCCAGAGAGGCCTCTGGACTTAAAAAGCCCTTGTTTGACAGTCCCCCGGGGTCCCCGGCGTCACCCTCCTTGACAGGAACGCAGTGTACATTTGGAAGGGTAGCCTGGACAGGGTGCCAGATGTCCTGGGGGACTTAGGTCGCAGCCTTTTTCTCCTCCACAACCCACCTGTCGTGTGGGGTACCCTTGCTCGCAGGAACCCCCTCAATCTTTCTGCTCATTAAGAAGAGAAGTAGAGCTGGACTCGGGAGGAGAAACAGACCCGTTTTAATCAGGCCCCAGGACCTGCTGAGAAGCTCTGAGGTCCAACACCACCTATGGCCTTCATCCAACCAAAGGGATCTCCAGAATCGATCCCACGTTCAACGCTAGAGGGAAGGGCAGCCGTAAAACTGGAGTCCTTCTGGCTCAGCGAACCCAACTCCGTGACATTTCTAAAAGGAAGCCGGAAGCTGTGTTGGTGCTCAACAGCAGACTTGCCACGACAATGTGCTCCATTTAAGGATGTTGCTTCGGAAGGCCGTAAGCAGAAGTTGTGCTTAGAATGAGAAGCACTCTTTTATTTTCCCCATCTTGCCTGCAGGTTTCAGTCCCAGCTACCGGCAGCATATGGGAATTCTGTGATCAAGAGTCTTAAACACTTTTAGGAATTGCCTGCACTCAAGAGGGAAGCATTATGGTCTTCAATAATTCAAATGTCTCTGCAATCACTGAAGAAAGCTAGGCAGGTTTTCTGACGTGGGGTAAATTGAAAGTGCGTTTGGTTTTAGGAAGATAAATGAATGTTCTCACCCTAGTGCCACTGTGCATGTGTGTTCCCACACATGCTCCCATACACATGTACATACATGATAGGCGATTATCTTTTTTAATTGATTTTAGAGAGAGAGGAAGGGGGAGAGAGGGAGAGAGAAACATTGATTTGTTGTTCCACTTATTTGCGCATTCATTGGTTGGTTCTTCCATGTGCCCTGACTGGGGGTCAAACCCACAACCTTGGCATATCCAGACAACACTCTAACCACCTGAGCTACCCGGCCAGGGCCCTGATAGGTGATTTTTTAAAAGTCAAGAGACCCGATGGGCCTTAGTGTACACACAGTGCAATTGACCATCAAACTGAAGCTTCCTGAACATGTGTGAACAACAGACTGTGATGCTGTCAGGTTCCTGATCAGTCCGTTGACAGCCCCCTTTGAAGACGGAAGAGAAAGGAACCACACAGATGAAACCATAATGAGGACCTATCCAGAACTAACGCCTGGAAAATGCTTCCTTGGGGTCGGTCCCTTTAAGGAACATGCTATGCATGAGGGAAGCAAAAACTTCTCCAGGCTCGAAGAAGAGCTGTCATCCCACGTCTGAAGTAGGTGGCAAAGAACTGTCATTGAGACCCATTTAGGCAGGTGCATGGGTTTCTGACCCAGGGCCCTCCACGGATGACCCATGGAATTCAGAAACAAGATGTGATGAGTCCCAGAGGTGCACGTGTTAGAAATGAAAAGAAGTCATCTAATAACTTTTAAACTTTTAATGTAACGTTCTGTCAGGATAGGCATAAGTGGTCACCCTTTCCGACCTGTTTTTACGCCTCCTCTCTCTCTGTGGGCCCCTCCACACCGCAGTTGGTAAGTGGCCAAAAGAGCCCATCTTTGCAAACATCTTCAAACAACCCAAGTCATTTATAAGCATTTTTAACAGCACACGATCTGTAATGAATGATTAAGTAAAACCTTTTGTGTTAAATTATGATGTTAATAATGATTCTGTCCCCGGTAATTTATTATGAATTCTCCGATGCTTCGGGTTTGATTTTGATAGAATGCAGCAACAACCAAGTTTATGTGATGACTTTATTTTTAGAATTCCTCCTTTGAAGGCACACATTTCCCCCACTACTGCTGCTCCTGTAATTATATACAAAACCAATCACTCATTACAGTTAGGATACATTATCTTCCAGACAGATGAGGCTAAATAAGCAGCACATTAATAATTCAGAGAGCAGTTCATTATGCATGTGGCTGCCTGCTTCGTAACTGGAATAAGAACCCCATCAGCCTCTGCCAACCCTTAAACAATAGTTCTGTGTTACTGCAGCCGCATTCAAGTTTACGCTTGTTAAACTGCTACTTGGATTATTTTATCAAACATTCATTTATTTGTGGTCCCTTACTGCCGAGAACAGATTTTGGAAGCTCCTTTTTTAAGTTAATGATTTGAGCAATGGGTGTTATTAATTCTCAGAATATTATAAACATGATTAATTTTCAGGCAGAGATTTATTACATAAGGATTTCAACTATGTCAACTGAAATGCATCACTGTCAAAACAAGTATCATGGCAAAAATAGAATATGCTCCACACTTCAAGTGCCGGTGCTCAGAACTAAATCGATTTAAACTGTGGCGGAAGCAAAATTATATTCTCCAGTGAAAAGGAGTATTTCCAGCTTCCTTTATTTGGCTGGAAGCGCTCTTGTTAGATTGTGATTTAGAAAGGTAGTTTAATAAAACTAGACTTCTACCGATAATGTGTTGTCTTCTATTTTCTCCCCCTGGTTTTACTAGAAAGGGGTAACCTCTGGGATTCCCACACATTCCCAATGTGGTCCGTGGGAATTTGGAGTGAAGAGCACTAGTCAGAAGTCAGGGGTCATGAATTCTGGTCCTCTGTCTGCCTCAGTTTCCTCGTTTGTAAAAGAAGGGGGGGCTAAATGACCCTCAAGTTCTCTGGAGGGATTTGATTTTGTGGGGTCTGGAAAGTGGAGCTCTTTACCTAGCCTGGCCCAAGCAGCCTCGTGTATAGGGGGGAGGAGGCATGTCCTGTAAGGGGACACAGGAAGGGCCCATCCCTCCACACCCCAGCCTTCCATTAAAAGGCCTTGTTCTTGCAGAATCTTTTAGGAAGGAGTAATAATGTTGTGACAGGTCACATCCTAAGTCCTCATCAGCCATTACCTTAGCTATCAGTTATACTTTCAGCAAAAATCAACTAGAAGTAAATTCAGCAAGTATTTAGTCAATAACTGCTTTGTGCCAGACACTCTACTAAGCCCAGAGGCAATAGGATGAGTAGCAAAGAGCTCCAACTTTATTAGGGAACACAGGTGGGTCAGCAGATAACTATAATGCGTATAATAATAAGATCAGAACGTCCAGAATGTATCAAGCCTGACCCCATGTGCTTTACACAAATCCTTATACAACCCACATATTAGGCGGGTGCTATTATTATGCTTGTTTTTAGATCAGAAGACCAAGGTTAAGAGATGCTAAGCAAGTGTGGAAGCCAAGGTTTAAGTCCAGGCCTGTCAGCCGTTAGGGCCTGTGTGTCTGACCACTGTGCTATCCACCCTGCCTTGCAGTGGCTGGGCATCAGTGACTCAGCCCCAGAACAGAGCTTAAGCTCATCCCTGAAGAAGTCTCTGAACACAGAGAAAGCTCATCTTCCAAAAGAGGCTTCATCTACCTGTGTGATGAGGTTGTTGCCATTACCCACTGGATTCTAACCTGCTCTGAGCCTGGCCGCGACTCAGTGAGCACTGAATGGACCAGTGGTTGTGGAGAAGGCTTCTGATACTATAAAAACAATCTAGGTCATGATGTCCTTGGCGAACTTTACAGCATCCGAAGAGAGTAGATTATACAAGTTACCCTCTTACAAATGGTGTTTTATCTTTGTATAATGTTTTATACTTAAAATAGAAATGAGCATATTTGAACCCCTGATAATCTTGAGAAATAAAGAAGACAGGGGTTATCATGTCCATTTTACAGATTAGGGAACTGAGGTTATGTGAAGTTAAGTGAGCTGCCCAAGGTCATAGAGTTAAGTAAGTGGCAAAGCCCAGGTCGTCTGAGTCAAGTCCCTTTCTAAAGACAAGGTTGATTGGTAAGTTGGTCAGTTTTTATTTTATACTGAAAGCCCAATGCACAAAATTGTGCACCAGTGGGGCCCCTCAGCCTGGCCTGCGGGATTAGGCTGAATCCGGCTCTCCGACT